TTATGTGTGAGGGCGTTTTGTCTGCATGTATGTCTGCAGACCATGGGCCTCATATCTCCTGGAACTGGATTTACAATTGTGAACCTCCCTCCATGTGGGTGCTGGAAACTGAACCTGGGTCATCTAGAAGAACAGCCAGTGCTCTAAACTGCTGAGCCATTTCTCCAGCTCCTTAATCCACTTGGTGCCACACCTGGCACATACACCTAATAAATAGTAACTCACATGCCACGAATGGTAAGACAGGACAGTAGTGTTCCCGTGAATTTCCAGAAGATACGCTGGAGTGTCAGCAACAGCTCTCAGGACAGGGACTGTGCAAACCATTGCCACAAGTGACCTACTATCAAATCTCTCAGATCCCCCATTCATGTTTTCTGGGGTTCACGGTCTGACATCTTCAAGGAAGGTGGTTCACACACATCTATTCTCTGTGGTGTCTTTTCTCCAAGGCCTCCTTAAATGAAGGTGGCAAGTTAAAAAAGAAAAAAGGAAGGAAGGAAGGAAGGAAGGAAGGAAGGAAGGAAGGAAGGGAGAAAAGGAAGGGAGAGAGGGAAGGAAGGAAGACAGAGAGGGAGGGAAGGAGGGAAGGAGGGAAGGAGGAAGGAAAGCATGCAGGAGATGGGAAGGGAATTTTCTACAGAGCCTCCAAATGTGAGCCAGGAACCATTCCACTTTGTCAGTGGTGATTTGAGGACACGTGACTTTGTCAACTGGGAATCACTTTATTCACATCTGCAGATTTACAGAGCACACGCCTGTGAATTCGCTCTTGCAGAAACAATGTGAACATGTGGACACAGGTGAATTTGACCCACCCAGAACTAAAAACTGAACCATCTGAGTTAGCATGAGGCACGTGGGCAAGGGAAACAGCAGAGCAGTGCAGACAGGAATGCATGCTGCTTAGCATGGTCTGCAGCTGGCTCTCTGTTCCCCGCATGCTCCCTAAGCCAGCAACATGTCACTCCTATACCTGAAACCTGGCCCTGACTCCCTGCCTCTCCCACTTGGGACCCAGACAGAACTGTGGCCATCTGGTTTGCAGCTCAGTGCCTCTTCAGTGAGACCTCTTGTACAATAAGGAGCCTAATTTATTCACATCCACTGCTGTCATCTGCAGACGAGCAGGGAACTGAAGCCTGTCCACCCCAAGTGCTAGCTCTGTCCCTGACTCACACATGGCCCCGCATAGGTCAGCATTTTTGTACTTCAGTTTTCCCATCTATAAAATGGGTACGATGATGCAGCTACTGTAGTGAGTGCTTAGGAAGTTTAAATACTTGTCTGGTATAGACTAAGGGCTCATTATTATGGACATCATGGTGGTTTTTAGATATGTGTGGAATTACAAAGAAACCAAAACAGGAAGGGCAAGTGTTCCCAGTCGCTGAGCACATTCTGCATTCATGGGCTAGCTCAGGGCCTCTGTGAAGCGGACCACAGTGGGAAGGTTCTTCCTACACACCTACAAAGAGAGAGGGACCTTCACGCTGATTGACAGTCCTGGCCTTCCTTCATTTATTTGTTTTGTTTTTTGAATCAAGGTCTTGCTATGTAGCCCAGGCTTGCCTTGAGCTGGTGATCTTCCTGCCTTGGCTTCCCAGGTCCCTGTGTGAGAAGCAGGTGCCACCACTGCCAGCCTGCAGAACTCCCACACTCTTCAGCAGTACAGGCAGACACATCAGCCCACACGCCCCAAAGAGGCTCTCCACAAGTCAACACTGCTTCCACCACACATGCACAAACTGCGGCCTGCAAGGGCTGTGTGTCTGTACTTTGTTAGTACCGAGTCCGTCTCTGTATTACGCGTCATTTTGTCTTAGATGCTAAGGATGCACCAATCATAGGGGAAAGTCAGTTCCATAGGCTGGTGTTTTGAAACCCCATGTTCTGGTATACCCAATGACATACGTGTTATGCTACAAACATCCAGACATTCATTTGTTGGGTATTGAACACAACACAGGGACACAAGTCCCTTAGGAAGGGTGGCATTAAGTAAATCACTAAGTCACAGTGAAGTCTTTTTGTTGTGACTGAATGATGTTCAAATATGATAGAATGAGCATCTTTACCTGCATGCCAACATGCTTTGCACGTGTCAGAAGGCAGGCCTGAGATGGTGGGGCAGTCAAGGTAGGGTTCTAGGAAGCGCCCACTCGGCTGGGCTCCCTGACCAGGGTTTACCACTGTCATCCGGTGCTGACAGTGGGAGACTGGGAGCTTGAATGTGCTCCACCTACCCTCATTGTTCAGATGGGCACACTGAGGCCTGAAGAATTTCACTTGATTGTCCAAAGTCGTACAGCTGATGGACTGGAGCCTCAGACTTCTGCATGGGCTTGCAAGGCTTCTTTTCAAGAACAGACCCCATCCCATCACATGATGGGACTCCGGCTCACTGCTACTGCCTTCCTTCCCTCTCAGGTGCACTCCCGGTCTGGTAGCCACAATCACCGCTCCTCTGTGGGGGCCCATGTGGCTCCCCTACCAGAGACCCAGAGGCCACACCACTAAAAAACCTCTGCCTGCTGTGGACACTAAAGACTCCTTTGGGCTTCACTGCCCCAGGAAGCTGTGTTGGGGCTGGCCTCCTCCGCTCCCACAGCGTATAGAAACACTCATCACGTAATATGTTCACACATTCAACAAATATTTATTGAGCAACATCCATATGCCAGAGACCTTTGAGTACAGCAATAACAAAACACAATGCCTGCCCTCAAAGAGCTTACATTCTGGTGAACAAAACGATAAGCCAACAAAACAGTGTCAGGTAGAGCTCCATGCTGTGAGACAGCAGCAAGGCTGGAGGCCTCCTCAGGATGTGCCATCTCATCAGAGCTCTCCAGAGGCCACAGAGTAAGCCATGCACACAGCTGGGGAAGGACTGCAACAGTGGCGGTGGCGGCAGCAGCAGCGACAGTGGCAGCAGCAGCCCTACCGATGCAGACTACCTATTACTGCATTCCATTCCCTGCTCAACTACCAACGCCTGAAGCAAGGGCACAAAGTGTGACTACCTCAGCCCAGCACAGAACTTAGTATGGCCACAGGGGGTATTTACAAAATAAGAGAACGAACATGGGTTGGGTTGGCTGAGCTGTCCTTAAACTCAGTGAACAAGATCAAGCCTGCTTTCTGTGCCTTGACTGGCCCTGGCTGTCCCTGGACTCTCTTCACTAGGACTGCACACTGACAAGTCCACGTTTACTTTTCTGGCCCTCCCCTCTATGGGCTGGACATGGGCCTTGATCTACAAATCTAGACACTGCAGTACCCAGTCTTCCCGCTCCTTCCGACCACAGCGGACCTTCCTGCGGTCATCTCTCCAGTTTCTGACTTCATTAAACCACGTCCACCATAGCCTCGGCGCAGGCTCTGCCCCTGTCCTGGTGCTCTCTGCGGCAGATGGCTCCCAAGCTCTAACCAAGCCAACAGGCCTTATTTACTTTGCTGATGGCAACAGAAACCTCTCGGATTCATTGGTGCTTTGCCGTACACCCTAAAAGGACAGAAATGACATCAAGGGAGAGTGATTCATCTCCTCACGCTTCCAGCCCCCACTGACTGACACCTGCTCCATGCCCGGAATCATACACTAGCGTGGTCTGCGGTGGTGTCTGCGGTGGCGGGGATGGAAGGGAGAGTGATAAAAGTGGATTGTCACTTACGGAAGACTTGTGCAATTACTAGGCAGTAAGCCCCCTCAAGGTAACTAACTACCTGGCTTCAGTTTACGGAGGTTAACAGGCCAAAGAAGAAGAACAGCTTGCTCAAGGTCGAACAGCTAAGTAGCAGGGTGTTAGCAGGCTGTAGTGAGGCGTCGAGTACCAACCTGGCTCAAGAGCCGAGTGGAACTCTAAGCACTAACTAAAGTTTACAAAACTTTAAATAGGACTGAGATGAAGAAAATGAAAGTCGGTAACGGAGACTACAGACATGCGGAGCCAGGGCAAGGGCTGCGCTGCCCGGGAAAGCGGCTCGGGGCCTGGAAGGACGACCCCCCTGTGCCCACGCGGCGGCGGGCCTCACCTCCTTCCACCTGAGCTGCCGAAGGCTGATCTTCAGCGCGTCCAGGGACGTGCGCGCCTTGGAGCTGTCCACGGTGACCGGCCACAGCGAACCCGAGCCGCGCCGGTACCGGCCCCGGCCCCGGCTCCGGCCCTTCGCGAGCTGGCACAGGGCCCGCGCCACCGGCCTCGGCGGGGCCAGGGGCAGCGCGGGCGGCAGCCGCCGGGCGACACGGACATCGCCTTCCTCGGCCGCGCGGGGTCGCGCAGTGACCGGGAGCGCGGCCTTGGGCTGCTCCTCCCGCGCCGGGCGCTCGGGCTCCCCGGCCGCGCCCGCGTCCACGCTCAGCTGCTCCTCCTCCGCCTCCGCCGCCGCCTCCGCGACCGCCAGCTCCCGCTCCGGGCTGCCGCGCTGCATGGCGCTCAGGGCCGGTGCCGGCGCCACAGCCACCGCCGCCGCCGCCGCTCCGCTGCCCCGGCCAGCGACCAAACTGCCGCCGCCGCCGCCACGCGCTCCCCGCCTGAGCCCGTTGCCATGATCGTTCAGGCTCCGGTTGACAGGGTTAGTCGCCGCCTCGGGACGGGGCCCGGAAAGGGACAATCGCCTGCCGAGGCACCGCGACCTCACAAGCGAGCGCGCCCACGTGACCAATCCTGTCACAGAGGCGGCGGCGGCCATCTTAGAAGAGGGCAGCGTGCCACGCAGGCCCTATCACCGCGGACCTTGCTAAGTTGCTGAGCGCCCAGAAGCTGTCCAGCTGATAGCGAGGTTGAGGGTAAAAGTGTTGAGCTCCAGTCCCGCTCCCGAGCCTGGAAGAAGGAGGACTTTGTGAGGAACAATATGTTTTGCAAACACAAGACTCAGTTTTCCTAGCCTTATACTCTCTGATTAACTCCAGACCATCCCCTCCACTCATCCCTATTCTGTGAGCGCCAGACTGAGAGGGGAGACCACCTTTGTTGGCTTTCAGGTATCTCCCATGGGATAGAGAAGCCCTGAAGATTTCCATATGCGCAGGGGACAGCAACAATTTTTTGTTTGTTTTTGTTTTTGAGACAGTGTTTCTCTGTAGCTTTGGAGCCTGTCCTGTAATTGGCTCTTATAGACCAGGCTGGCCTCGAACTCACCGAAATCCGCCTGACCCTGCCTCCCCAAGTGCTGGGATTAAAGGCGTGTGCCCGGCAGCAACAATTTTTTATAGTAAAATTGTGTATGTGTGTGTGTATACACATATATGTGTGTGTATATATATATAACCATTTTTTACTTTTTTTCATTTGTTATTTTATGTGTATAAGTGTTTACCTGCATGTGTGTAAGTGTCCTACGTGTGCACCCGCTGCCCCAAGAGGCCAGAAGAGGGCATCAGATTCCCTGAAACCGTCGTTAAAGTTTGGGTTACCATATGGTGCTAATCGAAGCCAGGTCCTCTGGAAAGGCCTCCAAGTGCTCTTCCCCTCTGAGCCATGTCTCCAGGCCTCATTTTAACTATTTTTAATACGCAGTCCAGTGGTAGGCATTACTTTCAGATTGCTGTGTGTACCATCACTATGGCAGATCTCTAGAACTTTCCATATTGAAAGCATACTCATGAACTAACTCCAGGGTTCTTTGCTCCACCCCCAAGCCTGGATACGGCAGTTCCACTTCTGCCCTGATGAATCTAACCACTGGGCCCTCTTGTGTTAGTCTTGTTTGGCCCTCGAGGTCTTCAAGTCATAGCCGGTGCCAGAGTTTCACTCTACCTTAAAGCTTACAAATGCTGTGTGTACATACATAGTATTTTCCATATGCCTATCTAAGCCTTTTGGGTTATTTGAACCCCTTGACTCTTGTGACTATAAGTGCCATTAATATTTGTGTACAAGGATTTCTTTGAACCCCTGCTCTCAATTTTTCATAGCTGCCACAATTTTGTTATTGTTGTTGAGATGGTCTCTTTATTCGCCCTGGCTGTCCTGGAACTCACTATGTATACTATCAGGCCTCAACCTCACAGAGATCTGCCTACCTGTGCCTCCTGAGTGCTGGGATTAAAGGCATGAATCACTATTCCCAAGCAAGGTTGCTGTAAAATCTTAAAACCAGTCTCTCCTATGTGAGGGAGACGCATTTAGGTGGGCTTGAGGTTTTAGAAAAGGAGTTAGAAAGTTGTAACAGAAACCTGGACTGACCAGCAGCCATGACTGCACTTGGCTGAATTCTGCCTCATTTACATTAAGGGTTCTGGAGGAAGGTGGCCCCTTCCCCCATTTCTCCAAAAGTCTCATTTCCTTGGCCAGTAATCTCAGCGCATGACTTAGTTGCCTCAGCTTCAAGAGCACCAAGCCGCCTTTGCAGCAGCCATGATGCTTTTGTTCAAGCCCCTGTACTTAGGGACTTGGGATGCTCATTTATGAAGCAGGATCCAAAACCCTCTTCCAGAGACTGTGACATAGAACATCTGGTTGAGCCTGTGGGTGTGATTGTTAAAACTGCTTCTCTGCGGGTTTTAAGGCAGTCAAAGTCAAGCTGGAGGCTCCCAGAGCTGTCCATGGTATCCGAAAGATGCCTTCACGGTCCAGCCATTCTTTCTTCTTCTACACCCCCAAATCCTGTTCCTCTTACCCTCCTGGTGTCTGTAGTTTCAGTAGTTGCCACCACCCTCATTCACTAAAGTTTGAAAATTGTCAAGGCTTAACAGACCCCACTCCCCCCTTTCTTAAAGCCAGTCCAGCCCTAAAGTCTTGTGGGTTTTATAATAAAGTACTGTTCCTCTTGCCTGCCATTCCTGATTCAATCAGCATCTGCCTTTGATCTGAGCTGTTGTAGCAGCCTCCTCCTGGGTGTCTCTGCCTCTCATTTGTTATACTCCCGTCCATTCACACTGCGGCTAGAACTTCCCATCCCCGTTCACACTGTGCCTGGAACTTATCATCCCCGTTCACACTGCGGCTGGAACTTCCCATCCATTCACACAGCGCTGGAACTTCCCGTTCCAGCTCTTCCTCTGCCTAGAACACTCTTCAGCCTTCAGTGTGCATCTGCTGCGACGCCTCTGATCTCCCAACCCACAGCAGTCCTCTCCAGGGGAGACAATTACAGAGACCGAAAATCAAGACGAAGCCTGAGGCCAAACAACTGCTCAGCAGTTCCAGGGATGGTGAGTTCCCCCAAGAATTACAAGCCAGGCTCTCCATCAGACATAGACTATAAGCTGGATTTTGAGAATGGGGCAGGCAGAAAGACAGGGTGGCCACTGCAGAGGCCATGGTTAGAGTCAGTGGACAAGGAGCCAAGTGCTCTGCCCGCTGGGTCACAGTCCCTGAGGCTCCATCCACCAGCTAAGGATATCCCTGCTTCAGATGCTCCTGCGCCAGTGGAGGGCCTCGCTGAGAGACGAGATCACCATGGATGCAAGCAGAGAACATCTGCCTTTGGGACTGGGGATGCTGACTAGACAGGATGAAACCCAAGACTTGGAGAAGGAAGAGCAGGGCCCAAAGGGCCCATTGGAGCCCCATTGTCAGGAGCTTTGGACACAGCCAGGTACCTCTGACTTCTCAAGAAAGCCCCCCAAATAAGTCAGTGGGCATTCAGACCCTGTGGGAGGCACCTCCAAGAGAAGCCCCCAGAATATGTCAGTGGGCATTCAGACCCTGTGGGAGGCACCTCCAAGAGAAGCCCCCAGAATATGTCAGTGGGCATTCCAACCCTGTGGGAGGAGCCTCCAAGAGAAGCATCCACAGTGACTGCTGGGAGCAAGAGTAGGTCAGGGCGAGGAACTGCCTTACGGCCCCAAGGTGGGAGTTTGCTTGTCTGTTTCCATGACTCTGTCATCAGCCTAGGGGCCAGAAGTGAGGGATGCTCTACTCCTGTGGGCCACAGTGACCCAGGGCCTAGTCCAGTGCCTGGCAGAGAGGAGGCACTCGGGATCTTATGAATGAATGAGTGAATGCGTGAGGGAAAATGTCCGTGGTTCAGCTACTCCACACTGAGGAAACAGTTAATTTGGCAAGTGCTGCCCGTGACCGCCTTAGCCCGAGAGGAGAAGTCAGTGATGTTGCATCAAAGGAACGGTGCAAGCGCTGTAATTACTGTGTTTAAAAACTGCCCAACATAAAGAGGGCCTGAAAGAATTTAGAGACAAATAGGAACAGCTGTGGTGCTGGAGACACGGGATCTTGCTTGAATTTTTCCTTTCAGTTTCGGGAAACTGTAGCAGCCTTGTGGCTCTTCATGCCCCCGAACTCCCAAATCAACTCTATTTCTGGAGGCTTCTTTGAGGACTTAGAAGGCAGCTTTGCATCCCGATCTATTACTGGTGAGTAACCGCCCTCTAACAGGCCCTGGACTGATCATTTTGCAGGTGTCCTGCTATTTCTCTGGGACAGCTCCAGGAGCCATGTTTCACAGCTGGTGAAAGAAATTGCTACTCATTCGTTCAAGTCACACAGTCAGTAATGGCAAAGACAGCACCTGAGGGGCATTCTCTCTCTCTCTCTCTCTCTCTCTCTCTCTCTCTCTCTCTCTCTCTCTCTCTCTCTCTCTCTCTCTCTCTCTCTCTNCTGTGTGTCTCTGTCTCTCTCTCTGTCTCTCTCTCTGTCTCTGTCTCTGTCTCTCTCTCTCTCTCTCTCTCTGTGTGTGTGTGGAGAATGCTAAGAAAAGATAATATTTGGAAAAAGTTGCTGGAAGTTAATGTTTCCAAATATTAATCGTCGTTAGTCTAGGTTGTGCCCATTAAGTGTGTCATATTTCTTCGTTCTTTTCTATGATTTCCAAGTTTTCTGCAATAAGCATGCAATTTCTTCATTAAATGTACAACAAATTTTCACTAAAATTGGCTATTGTTGTATAATTTTCACAGAGAGTCCACTTCCGGAGGGGAGACCAGAAGAGGCTGTCTAGGGGAGAAGCCCTGGGTTACTTTTGTCAGATTTTTTTTGTTTCTGTCAAGATCTGCCACCAGGTGGCACTAGAGGCCCAACTTTTGAAGGCTTAGCAGTGGATGGACAGGGAAGGGGACCACAGTACTCTGTACACTAAACAGCTCCCACCTGCCTCGCAGAAAGGCATAGGTGGCCGGGTGGTGGTGGTGCATGTCTTTAATCCCAGCACTTGGGAGGCAGAGGCAGGCGGATCTCTGTGAGTTCGAGACCAGCCTGGTCTACAGAGCTAGTTCCAGGACAGGCTCCAAAGCCACAGAGAAACCCTGTAAAAAAAAAAAAAAAAAAAAGAAAGGCATAGGTGCTAGACTTTTGAGACTGTTGGTCCTTATGCCTGGTACACGCTCCTGCTTCATTGTACTTAGCCCCTGTCTGCCTTAAGTCCCAGACTTAGGGCTCAGATACAAAACCTTTACGTAGGATATGGCAGGACACCTGACACATTGCTTAAAATTTATTTTAAATGACTCCACTTTTTAAGGACTCACGCTGTCCTTTATCTACTTGGTGTGTGGATGGAGGATATTCCCAAGACAAAAGTACACAGCAGGTGGGACCTGCTTCTTGGCAGAGGCTTGCAAAATGCCTTGTGATGTGGCAAAGGGAATGAATCTTCCTGTCTCCAGGGTGACAGGGACGCTGTGAGCAGGGACAGGAGGCAAGTGCCTGAGGAGGGGACAAAGATGAGAGTTTGAGGATGGGGTGGGGTGGTAGAGACATTGCTGGAGAAAGCCGCTTGTTGGTTCCTGGCCGCCCGGCTAGCTTATACCCGAAATAATCCACAGAAACTGTATTAATTAAATCACTGCTTGGCACATTAGATCTAGCTTCTTATTGGCTAACTCTTATATTAATTTAACTCATTTCCATTAATCTGTGGATCGCCATGTGTCTGTGGTAAAGTTCTGGCATCTGTCTCTGGTGGGACTACATGGTGTCTATCTAACTCCGCTTCCTCCTCCCATGCTGTAGGCCTAGCAAGTTTCTTTATTAATTAACAAATAAAAACAACACATAGATATCCCACACCATTTCCCCTTTTCTGTTTATACAAAAAGGAAGGCTTTAACTTCAATATAGTAAAATTACATAAAACAAAACAGATATCAATCAAGAATTACAGTTATAATATTTATATCTACTTTATCTTTTATTATATCTAAGGAAAACTATAACTATCTAGTCTTCAACTCCATCAAAGACTCCAGAAGGATATAATAGTACCTAAGTAACAATAAGTTCATTGTAGGTAACTTTCAAAACTCTAGAATTGACAGAGACTTCTCGCTGCCTGTACAGTCACCTTCTTGAAGTTGCTGGCCAACCTGTACTATGCCGGGACCAGAATACATTGATAGAGGAATCCTCAGAGCAGGCTCAGAACCATGAGGAAATGCTGCTCTTGTGGGGTGCACTGATGCAGGGGCTCAGCATCATCCGAGACCTCTACAGAACCACACTTCGCATGCCCAGGTGCAGAACATATGGGCTAGACACAGGTCCCAGGGCCGGCACACATGGTTCCTAAGCTAAGAGAGGGGAGAGGAGGGACAGTGCTCCTGGGTTCTGGGACTCCAAGCTGGGGAAAGGGCGTGACTTAGAACAGGGGGTCTTGAAGCGAGGAGGAGCTTGCCCTGGGAAATCAGCTGACCCAAAAGGTTGGAGTCACCAGTGTGTGACTTAGTCTCCCAGGTCAGGGCAGGGGCTCAGGCTTGGGCTATGGGACTCCTGTTCTTTTCTTTTTGCCACAGATCTCCCACATCCAGCCCCACACTGCAGAGGTGAGCCACTATGTGCACCTAGTTTGGCCTGGGTCATGGGCTAAGCATGTGAGAGGCACTGGCTCCTATATCCCAGCAACACACACACGAATTTTAAATTAAATCTGATTCTCACTTCTATGGTTTGCAGCTCGCTAGATAGATACAGAGATGAAAAAGTAAACACTAAGTAGGTAGGAATTAGTTGGATATGGTGGCACCCAACTTAATCCCAAGCCCTATGGAAGGTAGGCCAGAGGAATACAGTTTAAAGCCAATCTGTAGGACACAAAGATATCCTATCTCAGGGTGGAGCACAGAAAGTATATAAACAACAGGGCCATTGTTGTTGATTTTTAGAAGATTTATTTATCCAAACAAAAATACCTAGGGAAATTGGGTTTTGGGAGGCAGGAGCTGAGGACCAAGCCTAGACACCCAAAGAGCTAGTCACCTAGCAGCAACCATGTAGAACAAAGCCTGGATTGCTGATGGGTCCCCTGGTGCTAAGGGTCTCCTGTGCCTCAGACTCTGACTATTGGGTGGAAACAGAGATTGCACTTTCATTTCCCAACCACTCAGATCTGAATAATCACACAGAAACTGTATTAATCACAACATTGTTTGGTCAATGACTTAGGTGTATTCCTAGCTAGTTCTTACATCTTAAATTAACCCATAATTCTTGTCTATGTTTAGTCACATGGCTTGGTACCTTTTCTCACTGAGGCAGTCTCATCTTGCTTCCTCTGCATCTGGCTGGTGACTGCATCTCTGCAGAATTCTCCTAGTCTGGTTGCCGACTTCATACCTGGCTACTGGCCAGTGTTTTACTAAACCAATATGAGTAACAAATCTTTACAGAGTACGAAAGCATTATCCCACAGCAATAGGGGCAGTCGGATCGGATCAAGGGGCCACACCCAGGAGTGTGTGCTTGTGTTGCATTTTTGACATTTTCATGGCTGCAAGCAATTTGCTCTGCCTAACTTCTCTGGGTGGAGCAGGAAAGCCCAGCAGTGTCTCTGCCCTCGCAGCTATAGCTCCATGGTGAGTCAAGAGAGGCCGAGTATCCAAGCCCAAGGACAGAACGCATGGTCACACTGCTGGTTGTTGGAAGCAACTACCCTCTGCAGCCTGTTGTGGGGCAGAGCAGGTCCTCCACAATGGGTGTGCATGCAGCTTTAGCAGTCTCCTTTGCCAGTTTCCATTTACCTCTGACCCCAGAGTTCAGGAGGTGGGCAAGGAGCACACAGAATCCCTTCACGGCGCTTTCCCGACTCCTCTGGTCTCTGCCCAGTTTCTTCACAGTAGGCTCTCCATACAGTTCCCACATTATGGCCCTTGCCCCATCCCATCCCGACCTTGAAGGCTCCTGCTCCATCCCATGCCGACCTCGAAGGCCCCTGCTCCATCTCATCCCATCACCTCAGGTGACACCCTGGCAGCTGAATCTCAGTCTAGGTCCAGCCTCTTTACTCACTATGGCTCCCATGCCCCCTTAGTGGCTAGATCTCCATCTGTCCTTCGGTTGGGTTCCTCCCCAGGACAGAGCCAGGACTTGCTGGGGGTGGGAGAGGTGAGAGTCGGTGGGGGCTTCCAATTTCAGCAGACTGTGTCTGCCCCACCCCACCTGCTCCATCCCAGCTCCAGCCAAGCTCTTCCTGTTGCGGAGGTGTTCTGATACATCAGTTCATTCCTACCCTCCCCTAAGTTGCCCTTCTGCTTCTGCCTGTTCTGAACCTAGGCTTCGGGAGCCATCTCCTGCTAACAGCTCTCCCTCGGCACCCAGTCTTTAGTTCTCTGTGCACTTCCCCGATCGAGGAATCTCTCCCCTTCACGCTGGCCACTCCAATAGCTACTTACCGGCAGTATCTCCTTTTCTCTTTCATCCTCCAAGACGGGTGTTCTACTACTAATCTCAACAGCTCATGACTTAGCCTTTTGTTCTATTAAAAACAAATGGGCGTGGCTGTAACGGAAGAACAACCTGCTTGGGATATGTTGTCGTCATCATCATTTTAGACCATGATCCATTTATCCTATTTTTCTTCATCTAGTATGATGCTGGCTCTAGGTTGGTTATAAATAACCTCCATGATGTTGAAATGTGTTCCTTTTGTTCCTAAAGTCCTCGGGCTTTTACCATGAGAGATCTTAGATTTCTGTCTGAGGCTTTTCCTGCATCTATTGAGATAATCACATGATTTTTATCCTTGAATTTGTTTATTGATTTCTGTGTGTTGAACTATACCCAGAATCTCTGGAATGAAACCAATTAGAATTTAGTGAATAGTGACATATATATGTATATATATATACATATACATATATATATATATATATGTTCTTGGATTAAGTTTGTAGTACTTCATTGAGAATTTTTGTACCTGTACTCATCAGAAAGATTGGCCTTTCATTTTCTTTTTGATGTGTTTTTGTCCAATTTTGGTATTGAGGTAATACTGGTCTTATTAAAATAGTTTGAAAGCATTTCTTCATTTTCTACTTAGAGAAATAATTTAGGAAGTATTGGTATAAGTTCTTTCAGGTTTGGGTAGAATTCGGCAGGCAATCCCTTAGGACCTGAACTCTCTTATTGCCCTTTCTAGATCTCTGAACTCATTTGTTTTGGCTTCACTCTGGTAAGCCATATGCATCTAGAAATCCATCCTTTTCTTTTAGTTTTTACAACTTCGTGGACCATGTGTGCATTGTTTACTTTCCTCATCCGTAGGACAGGGACCTGACGAAGCAGCTTAGAAGAAAGGGCTTGTGTTGACTCATCCTGTGTTTGGAGGATACAGACTATCCTTGGCTTCAGGAGAGTGAGTCTTCTATTTTTCTCTATTTGTTTGGTCAGGATGCTGTTCCTAAGGCGAGAGTGGGTATTTATCACCCACTACTATTGTATTGGGAGAAGTGTATGACTTTGCCTCTCATACTGTGTGCTCCCAGGGTCAGGACACACATGTTTTAAATTGTACTGGCCTCTTAGTAGCTAGTTCCCTTAATCAGTATGAAGTGACCTTCTTTATGAATAGGGGACCTGAGCATGTTCATGTGTGTTGGTGCACATGTGTGTGCAGGTATGTATGTGTGCATATGTGCATACATATGGAGGCCAGAAGTCAAGCTCAGGTGTCCCTCTTCAGCAGCTGTCCACCTTGTGTTTTGAGGCAGGACCTGTCCCTGGGACCTGGGGCTCTCTAATTAGCCTAGTCTGGATCTTTCTTTCTCCACACTATGGGAAAGCAAACAATAAACACCAGATTTCAAATCGCTTCTCTGAAAAGGTCAAGGGTATTGGAAGCCAGGGAACTCTCCTAACAAGTGGCTCTTCTCTTGAAGAACTGCCAAGGTTTGAAAATATTTTAGGGAGCAGTCATCTGCAGGCACTCAAGAGAGACGCCTCACCCAGGCATTGGAGCAATAGACGCTGAACATGTCGTGGGTCTGTGCTGCACAGGAAAAACCCGTGCCACTGTGTGCTCAGGGTTAGCCTGGCATTAGAAAACAGGTTGAAACAGGAAACCCCAAGTAGCCCAGTCTGAGAAGTAACTTGTCTTGCAGGCAGAGGGGGTGAATTAAAAAGAGCATTTCTTTCAAATTTTGGACACCTGGTCCCTTTGTTTTTCTAAACTTACCACAACCAATTAGCCAAGACCCTCATTGGCCTCCAGTAGATTTAGATTTGGAAATAATCTAAAGAATGGTTTACTGAGCTGGGCAGTGGTGGCGCACACCTTTAATCCTAGCACTAGGGAGGCAGAGGCAGACAGATCTCTGTGAGCTCAAGCCCAGCCTGATCTATAAGACCAGGACAACTAAGACTGTAACACAGAGAAACCCTGTTTCAAAGTACAAAAAAAAAGAAAAGAAAAGAAAGGAATGAAGGAAGAGAGAGAGAGAGAGAGAGAGAGAGAGAGAGAGAGAGAGAGAAAGAAAAAAAGAACTACCAATTCCTGGGAAGGCTGGCTATGAGGAATTCCTGGGAAGGCTGGCTATGAGGGCTGGAGAAAGGGCTTCAGCAGTCCTGTTGTCTCTTACATTGAGCTCAAGTGTAGGCGTCAGTCAGAACAGGCTGTGTTATACTGCAGTAACAGGCATTCCCACACCTCAGGACATTACGGAAGTCTGCTTTTCACCCATGATATACATCCAGAACATGGGCCCTTTATATAGTTGTCACTCAAGGTCACAGGCTAACTTAGGCTTCATTTCAGCAGGAGTATCTTAGGCTCAGCGTGATTGTTTGGTGGGAAGAAAAGAGAGATGATCACAGGGTGCCCTCCCCCGAGTGGGGCAGAGCATTGGACACAGGGCCTTGTGCAGCTAGGTCCGAGTGTAGACATTACAGGACTGCAGTGTGGGACTTGGGACTATGTGGCACTCCCCCACACACCTAGAGTGAGGGGAGACAAAGGTGTCAGTGCAGACCTGGGACATCGTAGGCACGTGAGGTAAATGGCCTTGTAACAATACAACATCACCAGGCTGCAAGCAGCCCAGAAGAGGTGAGGAGCACAGGCTCAGCTCAGTACTAACATGCAGCAGACTCACATGTAGCTCCGTGTTAACCCGCAGGAAGTCCTGGGTTCCACCCTCAGCACATTGGGAAGAAGGAAGAAGAGGAGGAGGAGGAGGCATGGAGGAATCTTAAAGTCCTTTAGCCCAGCTCTCCGAATCAGAAAGTGGGATGAAGAGAGAGCACAGGTGGGGAATGGAAGATGGAAGATCTCAGCTGCCTTCTCTAAGCAATGAAGGCTTGCAGCTTCGGTGACTTTCCGATGCCCCTTTTCTCAGGTGTTGTCTGTGATGATGGATATCCCGTAGAAGGAGGCTGTTCCCAAAGCCCTGGCCTCCTCAGGGAAAAGAGGCAAATCCAACCAAAGCTAAAGCTTGTGTTGTCATCTTCAGAGCCATCCTTTGTGAATGAGACGAGGTCTCGACCAGAGCGGGTCAGAGCCCACTTCAAGCTTGTAGACCAACATGCCTGTGATCTGGTAGGAGGGAAGTGATGTGGGAGTGACTTCTTTCTAATCTATTGCTTTCACTGGTTAATTAATAAAGAAACTGCCTAGGCCCATTTGATAGGCCAACCCTTAGGTGGGTGGAGTAAACAGAACAGAATGCTGGGAGAAAGAAGCCGAGTCAGGCAGTCGCCATGATTCTCCCACTCCAGACAGATGCATGTTAAGATCTTCCCTGGTAAGCCACCTCGTGGGCTACACAGATTATTAGAAATGGGTTAGATCAATATGTAAGAGCTAGCCAATAAGAGGCTGGAACTAATGGGCCAGGCAGTGTTTAAAAGAATACAGTTTCTGTGTAATTATTTCGGGGCATAAGCTAGCCATGCAGGCGTCAGGGAGCTGGGGCGGCAGGAACACAGCCTCGCCCCTCCTATTACAACAGGGAAGGAGGCTCAGGTGTATTCAGGGTCATTTCTGAAGAAGGAAGCGTGACTGTGGTGGGCAGGTTCCTTGACAGTCCCACATAAAGCGTACAGACACAGGACAGCCAAGCAGTAAAGGAAACCATCAAAACCAGAAAGCTGGCAAAGATGTAATTGAATGAGGGGGGCATTTCCCAGCCTCAACAAACAGTAGAATTTGGCAGCTTCAGCTACCTGGTTCTGGCTTTAAAGTTAAGGATAAAAGAAATGGGTTATGAAATCTTCCTTCAAACTAAGGAAAGCTGCTGAGGGCAGGCATGTATCAGGACTATCCCTGCATGGAGGTTTGGAAATGCCATTGCATGAAGCTGTGAAGTTCAAGCCTCGATTTCCTTGGAGACATCAAAATGTTGGAGATGCCAGAGCTGTGGGTACCTGCTGAGGAGAGCTGCTGAGGAGAGTTGCTGACAGACAGTGGAACCATCCAAAGAGAGAGAAGTGTGTTTCAGTCAACAAATCTGAAAGGAGTTGGAGATCTAAAGAGCACTTTGACATCAGACATGGAAATACAGTATTTGGAGTTTTCCTAGATGATTTGGTTTGGTATTTCCTCACTAGCCTCTCTTTCCTCCACTTTGGGACAGTAATGCATATCTTGTGCCATTATGTGTTTGAAGTATGTGATATTTCTCTTTAATTTTGATTTATAGGGGATTATAGTTAAGAGATTAAGTGAGTCTTAGGAGAGACTTTAAACTGTAGACTATTAAACATTGTTGAGACGGTGACCGACAATGGGGAATTTTGAAGTTGGACTAAACAAATATTGCATTATGTTATGGATATAAGTCTATGGGGGTGAGGGAGTAGAATGTGGGGGTTTGAAAAGGTATGCCCCCCCATGGTCTCATGTGTTTGAATGCTTGGCATATAGGGAATGGTCCTAGAAGAAGGTGTGCCCTTGTTGAAGCAAGAATGGCTTTGTTAGTTGTTAGAGGAAGTTTGTCACTGTGGTGGCAGTCTTTGAGGTCTCATATGCTCAAACTATGCCTAGTTTGGTAGACAGTTCACTTCCTCTTGCCTGCAGATCAAGATGCAGAACTCTCAGTTCTTTCTCCAAAACCATGTCTCCCTACATACTGCCATGAAGATAATGGATTAAGCCTCTGAAACTGTAAGCCAGCCCAAATTAAATGGTTTCCTTTATAAGAGTTGTCATGGTCATATCTCTTCACAGCAATGGAAACCCTAAGACAGAGTATCTGGCAAGCCCTGGGTGCTCTGCTCCTGCCCTGACCTCAGCTTTTAATGTTCACTCTGGCAGGGCAGGGCCTAGTGAGTGTGTAGTTTCTGGGACTTCCTGACCATTTTGAATTTTACCTTCCTACTTAAAGAATGTCCTGGAGGATGGAGTGCTGTAGAAAATCCTTCAGCCAGTAGCCTTTAAGTTACCCACCCACTTGGGCATGGCCTCTTATACTATAATGCCAATGTAAAGCTCATGCCTGCTCTTTCTTCTTATGTTACTGATTCCAAGTTCAAGCAGAGGACTGTGATCTGTGAGTCTCCCCCTAAATAAATGACTCTTTTTTGTATTCAATTCTGAGGTAGTTTGGGATTTCTTTTTAGCGTTCACCTTCACTTTAGCATCCATGGCACCCAACATGGATCCCAACTCCACACCTACTGGGTAGACCAGTCCAAAAGGCCCAAATGGTCCACAGCCCAGAACTCCAAATAGGAACCTCAGAAAAACTCTGCTGAAGACCCAGAGACTATTTGCAGTTTTAGCAGACAGTAATCTTGAAACTCAACCATCATTTTACTTTCATAGGATCCCATAGAAAGAACATTGCCCACATGACAGCTGGAAGTCATTCTAGAAGACCATGTCCCCTCTCCCAACAAAGTTTGTCCTCAGGGTTAGGGACATCATTTTGAGGGTTGATTATAATTGGTATAGTGAAGAGGTACGCTAAAAAGAAATCCCACACTAGCTCGGAATTGGGTACAATAAAGGGTCATTTGTTTAGGGGTAGACTCACAGATCACAGTCTTCTGCTCAAACAAGTAATCCAGAAGCCAGAAGAGAGAGGGAGCATGCACTTTACAATGGCATTTATAGTATAAGAGGTGATGCCCAAATGAGTGGGTAACTTAAAGGCTACTGGCTGAAGGATTTCCTACAGTACCTCTCCCTTTTGTTTAAAAAAGAGAGTTCTAAGCCTAATACAAAATTATATACAATAAGAGCAAATATCAAGTATAAAAATTACAGTTACAGCTAGCATAAACAATATCAAGCAAGAAACATGATGAATGTTTCAATAATTACCCTCTCCTAAGGAGTCTAAGTCTTGTATTATAAATAACTTGGCCAAGTCATGAGAGGAAAGTAACTCTGACTTTCTAGTCTCCAACCCCATCAAAGACCTGAGAAGGGAAATAATATTACTTGAGTAGGCAGGAAGTGCAATCAAGTAACTTCCAGAAGTACAAAAAATGATTGCTACCTGAGCAATCACAAAAGTCTCATTTGCAACGTTGGAGCAATCAACTTTGGCTAAGGCCTAGAGTCACTGAAAGACCATTTTCAGAGGCAGGAAAATTTTCAAAACCATATTACCAGGTCTTGGGAAGATTTGACAGTCTTTTGTCTTGTATCCTGCTTGCCCTGTCCAAATACCATTAATTTTGTAAGTGGTCGATGCATGGGCAGTTCCTTGAGCAAAGGCCAGTTTTGCCAAAAAGAAAACAAGCTCCAAGTGGAGTGTCTTCAGTGCCCAACATTCTCTTGGGAATAGATAGGTGCTGCCAGGAGCAATCGTATCTCATGTCAACAGAACCCTAAGTTATTTAAATGCCATATTCTACAGCTCTTTGAAGTGGTTGAAGATTACCTATCTATGCAGAATACAATCTCTATATAAAGAATCAGATTAGTCTAACTATAAGTATGAAAAAATCAAAGACTATTGACCTAAAATTCTTAACTTAAAGACTAAGACTTCATATTAGAATATTAAACAATCTTTAAACAACTGTGCAATAAATGAGGACAATGACCTCAAAATGTCTTAAGCAGAGGTAGAAGCGTGCATGCATACAATATGACAAAATAACTTTGCCTAGGTACACAAATATTGTAGCCAAAAATAGGAACATATTCAGTATAATTTAAGCTTTTATCAATATACAAGAATCTATACCAATGTAAATTGCCTATAAATAATAGCTCACAAGTAATCACTCTATTACTCACTATTCTTTTTTATTTATTATTGATTTTTATTGAACTTTACAATTTTCTCTGCTCCCTTCACTGCCTCTTCCCTCCCCTCTTCAACTCTCTCACAAAGTCCCCATGCTCCCAATTTACTCAGGAGATCTTGTCTTTTTCTACTTTCTACTTCTCATGTAGATTAGATCTATGTAAGTCTTTCTTAGTGTCCTCATTGTTGTCTAAGTTCTCTGGGATTGTGGTTTGTAGGATAGCTCTCTTTGCTTTATGTTTAAATATCACTTATGAGTGAGCACATGTGATAATTGTCTCTCTGTGTCTGGGTTACAGCACTCAAAATAATGTTTTCTAGCTTCATCCATTTTCCTGCAAAATTCAAGCTGACATTTTTTTTCTGCTGTGTAGTACTCCATTGTGTAAATGTACCACATTTTCCTAATCCATTCTTCAGTTGAGGGACATTTAGGTAGTTTCCAGGTTCTGGCTATGACAAACAAAGCTGCTATGAACATAACTGAGCACATGTTCTTGTGGCACAATTGAGCATCCTTTAGATAATTACCCAAAAGTGGTATTGCTGGATCTTGAGGAAGGTTTTTTCCTAATTTTCTGAGAAATTGCCACACTGACATCGAAAGGGGCTGTACCAGCTTGCATTCCTCACAACCTTTCCAGCATAAGTGGTCATCAGAGTTTTTAATCTTGGCCATTCTTACAGGTATAAGATGGAATCTCAGGGTTGTTTTGATTTGCATTTCTCTGATGACTAAGGATGTTGAACATTTCCTTAAGTGTCTTTCAGCCATTTTAGATTCCTCTGTTGAGAGTTCTCTGTTTAGGTCTGTACTCCATTTTTATTGGATTATTTGTTCTTTTGATGACCAATTTCTTGAGTTCTTTGTATATTTTGGAGATCAGACCTCTGTCTGACATAGGGTTAGTGAAGATCTTTTCCCATTCTGTAGGCTGCCGTTTTGTCTTGTTGACCATGTTCTTTACTTTATAGAAGCTTTTCAGTTTCAGGAGGTCCCATTTGCTAATTGTTTCTCTCAGTGTGTATACTGTTGGGGTTATATTTAGGAAGTGGTCTCCTGTGCCAATGTGTTCAAGTGTACTTCCCACTTTCTCTTCTATAAGGTTCAGTGTGGCTGGCTTTATGTTGAGGTCTTTGACCCATTTGGACTTCAATTTTATTCATGGTGATGGATACAGGTCTATTATCATTCTTCTTCATGTTGATATCCATGCCAGCACCACTTGTTAAACATGCTCTCTTTTTACCATTTGATATTTTTTGCTTCTTTGTCAAAATCAGGTGTTTGAAGGTGTGTGGATTGATATCTGGGTTTTCTATTCAGTTCCATTGGTTCTCCTGTCGGTTCTTATGCCAATACCAGGCTGTTTTTAGTACTGTAGCTCTGTAGTAGTGTTTGAAGTCAGGGATTGTGAAGCCTCCAGAAGGTCTTCTATTGTTTTGGCTATCCTGGGTTTTTTACTTTTCCAAATGAAGTTGAATACTGTTCTTTCAAGGTCTTTGAAGAATTTTGCTGGGATTTTGATTAGCATAGCATTGAATCTGTATATTTTTTTGGTAAAATTGATATTTTTACTATGTTAATTCTGCCTACCCAAGAGCATGGGAGGTCTTTCCACTTTCTGGTATCTTCTTTAATTTCTTTCTTCAAAGACTTAAAGATCTTGTCATACAAGTCTTCCACTTGTTTGGTTAGAGTTACTCCAAGATATTTTATGCTATTTGTGGCTATTGTGAAGGGTGTTGGTTCTCTGATTTCTTCCCCAGTCCTTTTATCATCTATGTACAGGAGGGCTACTGATTCTTTTGAGTTAATCTTGTGTCCTGCTACATTACTGAAAGTGTTTAAGAGTTGTAGAAGTTCCTTGGTAGAATTTTTGGGATCGCTTATATAAACTATCATATCATCAGCAAACAGTGAGAGTTTGTCTTCTTTGTTTCTGATTTGTATCCCCTTGATCTCCTTTTGTTGTCTTATTGCTCTAAGCTAGAACCTCAAGAACTATATTGAATAGATATGGAGAAACTGGACAACCTTGTCTTGTTCCTGATTTCAGTGGAATCACTGAGAGTTTCTCTCCATTTAGTTTGATGTTGGCTGTTGGCTTGCTGTATATTGCCTTTATTATGTTTAGGTATGTTCCTTGTATCCCTGCTCTCTCCAAGACCTTTCTCATGAAAGGATGTTGTATTTTGTCAAAAGCTTTTTCAGAATCTAATGAAATGATCATGTGGTTTTTATTTTTTAGTTTTTTTTTTAATATGGTGGATTACACTGACAGATTTTTGTATGTTGAACCATCCCTGCATCTGTGTGAGGAAGCTGACTTGATCATGGTGGATGATGGTTCTGATGTGTTCTTGGATTCGATTTACCAGTATTTTATTTAGTATTTTTTGCATCAATGTTCATGAGTGAGATTGGTCTGTAATTTCCTTCTTAGTAGTGTCTTTCTGTGGTTTGGATATCAGGGTAATTGTAGCCTCATAAAAAGAGTGTGGCATTGTTCCCTCTGTTTCTATTGTGTGGAATAACTTGAGGAATATTGGTACTAGTTCTCCTTTGAAAATTTTGTAGAATTCTTAGTTGAAGCCATCTGGTCCTGGGCTTTCTTTGGTTGGGAGATTTTGATGACTGTTTCTATTTCTTCAGCAGTTATAGGTCTGTTTAATTTGCTTATCTGGTCTTGATTTAATCTTGGTAAGTGATATTTATCCAGAAATGTGTCCATTTCCCTTAAGTTTTCCGATTTTTTGAAGTACAGGTTTTCAAAATATGACCTGATGATTCTCTGTATTTCCTCCATGTCTGTTGTTATGTATTCCTTTTCATTTCTGATTTTGTTAATTTGGATATTCTCTCTCTGCCTTTCAGTTAGTTTGGATAAAGGTTTGTCTATTTTGTTGATTTTCTCAAAGAACCAACTCTTTGTCTCATTGATTCTTTGTATTGTTTTCTTTGTTTCTATTTTGTTCATTTCTGCTCTCACTTTGATTATTTCCTGCTGTCTCATTCTCTTAGGTGAGTCTGCTTCTTTTTGGTCTAAAGTTTTCAAGTGTTCTGTTAATTCACTAGTGTGGGATTTTTTCTAGCTTCTTTATGTAGGCATTTAATGCTATGAACTTTCCTTTTAACACAGCTTTCATTATGTCCCATATATTTGGGTATATTGTGTGGTCATTTTCATGGAATTTTAGGAAGCCTTAATTTCTCCCTTTATTCCTTCCTTGACCCATTGATGATTCAGGTGAGCATTGTTTAATTTCCATGTGTTTGTTTTTTAAAATTATTGCTGTTGA